CCACTATAGCTGTCACAAACCCTCAGGGATTTCCAAGTTCTGGTCTACCACGGAAAAAGACCAGGTCCCTCTGCACACTTTTGCCCCGGGATAAGCAGTTTGATGTGAGTTGCTTGCAGAGCAGCAATGCCTGTTCAGCCATAAACGGAGTAAAAACAAATATTTTCCATTACTAAGCCTAGCTGGAGTCTGTACGTCTGTCTGCATCTCCCATGGGGTCAAATGTTCAGCATTTTGCTTATTTCTTCTACAAGAGCTCTCCCTACTTGCTGTAGGATAAAGATAACTTTGGGAAGGGGGGGAATAACTGTGGTGGTTCATCTTATAGACTCAATTGCTTCCCTGACAGAAATTTTATATTAGTAATTATAAGATCTTTGCCAAAATGTTATATCTAGATTACAAAAATAGTAAGAATTTCTTTGGGATCTTCTCTCCCCCCTTCCCAATTAATTAAACAATCAAGATTTTCATATCATTTGCATGAAAAACTGGAGTAGTGTGGGAGATGCAATGGAAGAGACATGATAAACATTTATGCTGGCAATGCTTTACTGTTAGTAGACAGTAAATGAATGCTTCGAAGCCATGGGTTTATTATGTTTAAACTTAGTAAAAAAAATCAAGATTTTCATATCATTTGCATGAAAAACTGGAGTAGTGTGGGAGATGCAATGGAAGAGACATGATAAACATTTGGCAAGGCAATGCTTTACTGTTAGTAGACAGTAAATGAATGCTTCGAAGCCGTGGGTTTATTATGTTTAAACTTAAAAAAGGATGGGCACCTCTGGTTTTCCAGATGTTTTTAGCTTTCCTTTCCCAACCCTAGCCAGCAGAGCTAATGGTGAGGGATTGTGGAAACTGTAGTCCAGAAATATCTGAAGGGCCGGAAGCTGGCCATTCCTAGCATAAACTAGCAGAGAATTTGATTCTCCCTAAAGGAGGGGATAGCTGGATAGCTCAGCGGTTCAGATATATGGCTGCAAAGCCAGAGGTTAGGAATTCAATTCCTATAAGTAGAACCAGCCTGTGTGGCCTTGGACAAACTGCACAATCCTGGGGTGCCCCCAGAAGAAGGGAATGGTAAACCACTTCTCAGTATTCTTGATAATCCCTAGATGGTACACGATTATTATTAATGGAAAAAATGATGAAAATATTTTGGGTAAAATAATAAACATTACTGATCCTATTTCCCCCGCTTTTGTTCTAGAAGACACCTATGAACGAACCTTGCTTGTGGATGGTGAAAGTGCAACAATTATACTTCTTGACATGTGGGAAAACAAGGTAATGTGCAAGGTCGTTTTGTCATGTGGTAATTTATCAAATACTGTTTGGGAAAGTCAAGTTTCAGGGATTGATACAGATGTTAGCTACACATCCCAAATCTTGTTGAGAAAGGTGAAGTAATGCAAGGTGAAGTATCAGGTTCACTTATTGTTGTTGTTTAGCCGTGTCCGACTCTTCGTGACCCCCATGGACCAGAGCACGCCAGGCCCTCCTGTCTTCCACTGCCTCCCGGAGTTGGGTCAAATCAGGTTCACTACCTCCTACTTTTAAAAAAGCTGCAAATTTCAACTGCATTTATAGCTACAAATGCTGAGAAGTAAAACTAAAAAAGCTGTAAGAGATCTTGGTGCAGGGAAGGCTGCATAAAAGCACTTGCTGAATAATGAGTGGTCTTATTTGTTATAATATTTGTAATGCAACTCATTGTGTAATCAATTCCACATTGGTCATGGCTTTATTGTTATTTGCCTGTTATTATAAAACACCACCAAATTTAGGATTAAGAGACTGCCATAAACATGGGGAAGGTGTTGTCAAACGCTGCTAAAAAAGTCCTTTAAAAATACATTGTAGTTATGCTTGATAACACCAAAGAATGAGTCGACTACCTGGCTGAAATGGGCTAAATAGGATTGCTAGACAGTCTGGTATGCCATTTGGTGTTATCCTCACATCCAAATGGCATGTAAACCTCAAGCAACCCTGTTAGCCAACAAAAACCACCCTTTTGTTCCCTCTTGTGTCATCCTGCTTCTAGGAGGACATTTTTCATTTCTTTTATTTTTTTTAAAGTGATACAGCACATTTGTTGCTATTTCCACACTTTTGACCTGCCTCCCATAGGAGGCCAGGCTGGCCCCATCTTTGCTGTTCTTCTGATAGCAGGCAAAGACCTTTCTCTTCAGGCAAGCTTTCCCTCAGAGACTGGCTGCATGAATGGGGTATCTCCTCAGTGACTGGCTGCCTGAATGGGGTTTCTAAATGGATTGTTGTGACTTGCTACTTTGAATATGTTTTTGGTGATGTTTTGTTTGCCATTTTTCAGTGTGGCATTTTTGATCCTTTTAAAAGTATATATATAGTTACCATTTCAGCTATAAAATGGTTTTTTTAATGATGTAAGCCACCTTGGAACTTTTTTAAGAAGGAAGGCAATTAAAAATTACCATTTCAGCTATAAAATGGTTTTTTTTAATGATGTAAGGCCACCTTGGAACCTTTTTAAGGAGGAAGGCAATTAAAAATATTTAAATAAACAATAAATAAAATAGATATTTGGAAGTGCCAAAACAAAGTTTCACTTCCTCAACCCCCTCCATGGAGATGAGGAAGTGTTTAATTCAAAGGGGTTCTCTTCTTAATCCACTTCACAATATTGGGAAATTCACGGGGGAAGGCTGGCCCTTGGTTCATTTCCAGTGGTGACACATTGGAAATGAACCGAATCAGAGCAATCCCGCCTGTACCCAAACAGTAGAAGCCCCTGATAGGAACCAGAAAGGTGTAGTTATATCTGCTCTAGGATGGGTTGGTTTGCTCCAGCAAAGATATCATCTGATCTTTGTATTTAGGAGCAAACCAGTCCATCCCTGCAGTAGACCAAATAGTGGGCTAAACGCTTGTGTCGTCACCCACATAGTTTCCATTTCATATGCATCCTTGAGCCCTACATTAACTCCTGGCTTAAAAAGACTTTAAAAGGTTGTTCTGTAACCTTGATATACACCCCAGAACAATGAAGGCAGGTTAATTAGGACAATGAACATTTCATTCATGTTATTTATCATTTAAATAATGTTTGGATAGAGATAGAGGAAAGTGGATAGAGGAACGAAGAGGAGGGAAGAGGAAAAAAAGTGAGGAAGGTAGTCAGCTGGGGTTGGTGTGGAAAACCTCCCTGAAAAGCAGTGTCTTTAATTGCTTCCTAAAAGTCCACAGGGAGGAGACTAGGTGGAGCTCCTCCAGAAGCTGGTTCCATAAAGTTGGAGCGACCGCAAAGAAGACCCTACCTCTTGTAGAGGATTTATAGGCCTCCATTGGGGTGGCCACCTGGAGGAGCCTTGACTGAGATGACCTTGTGGGTCAGGCAGATGACAATAGGGAGAGACGCTCTGACAAGTAACATGGGCCCAAACCATGGAGGGCTTTGTATGTGAGTGTCAAAACCTTGAACCTAATCCAGGACGCCATGGGCCAACAGTGGAGGCGAGCCAGAACTGGAGTAATGTGGTCATATTTACTTGCACCAACCACCAGAGAGCCGGGTCCGGAAGAATGCCCAAATTATGCACTTGGTCTCTAAACTGGAGGGGAGTATCAACCAGCCTAGAGACTATCCCCCCTAACCTATCACAGGTCATCTCCAGGAGCAAAATCTCTGTTTTGTCCATGTTCAGTTTGAGCCTGTTAGCCTTGGCCCATTCCAGTATTGCAACCAGGCAACGCTCCAGCATCCTGGACAGCATCCACTGCAGAGGTGGTAATGGAGAGATAAAGTTGCGTGTCATCAGCATGATATCTTACTTCAAAACTCCTGATGACCTCCCCCAACGACTTAACATAGATATTAAACAACATTGGGGATAGTGCTGATCCCTGAGGAATCCCACACCAAAGGGTCCAAGGTTCTGACATCTTCCCTAACTCTCTGGACACCCTCCTCAAGGAAGGATCAGAGCCTGTCCAGGAGGATACCGTGGTCAACGGTATCAAAACCCAGAGCTAGGGGTACCAAAAGGGTGCACCTGCCCCATCAGCTTCCCTTAAAATGTCATCCTGCAACACAACCAATGTTGTCTCAGTACCTTGTTGCGGCCTGAATCCAGACTGGAATGAGTCAAGGCAGTCCTGCTCCTCCAGGTATGACTGCAGCTGATTGGCCACCACCCTCTCGATCACCTTCCTCAGGAATGGTATGTTAGCGATTGGACAGAAATTGTTAAGATTGTCTGACACTAACTGGGGGCATTTGATGATGGGGCGGACTATGGTTTCTTTCAAGCAGGAGGGAAGCATGTTATCTTTTCTTTGATAATAAGAGACTGAACGTTTCCTAAAAGAAATTATGCTGACACCACGTGCAATGTGCTTTGTCTGAACAGAGTGAAAAGGGATGGCTCCAAGAACACTGCATGCAAGTCGGAGATGCATATTTGATTGTCTATTCCATCACAGACCGTGCAAGCTTTGAGAGAGCATCTGAGCTCAGAATACAGCTCCGCAGGGCACGCCAGACAGAAGACATCCCTATTATTTTAGTGGGCAACAAAAGTGACCTGGTCAGATGCCGTGAAGTCTCTGTTTCAGGTATGAGTCACAATACGACAGTTTGTGGTGCTGTTGCTGCACCTTCTGTTGTTTTGACATTATCCTCACTTGACAACAAAGCATTTAGCAGTGTTATTAAAGCTAACAGATTTACTATAGTACTGTATGAACCTTTTTGGGCCTGCTTCATCAGATGCATCAAGCATGATCTTAAAAGTTCAAATATTGATACAGTGTACATGGGTTGCGGTTGGAAGGTTGATATCCAGAAAGTACTGATGGTGAAAATTAAGTTTAGGGTGTGGCTACACTGTTGAATTAAATATAAAGTTTTGTGTTGATCTGTGCATTCATGTGGGATCTGGCTTTCCCCAACTGCCAGGAACTCTGCAGAGCCAAGAGGAAAGCTGAGTCCTATGTTCTAATGAGGGGTAATTTCTGGCTTTGATCCAGGGAGAAGAGCCCGTTCCTAGCAAGACATGAAGCTACCTGAAAACAGAGGAACTGGCTCTCCTCCCTTCGCTTGTGTGCTGGAGGAGATTAGGGGAGCAAGAATTGCATGTTCTTGTGTGGCTCCAGGGATGACAGTGTCAGCAGCAGCCTGTTCCCATTCTCTTTACATTTTTTAACACTTGATTCTTTATATATACGTTTTGAACTGACATAGCGCTAGCTTGATGCACTGCTAAAATATAAACATTTAGGAAAAAAGGAAGCATTTGGAAAAGTAAAACCCCTTGTAGTTGCCACTTGTTTTGGCAAACTGCAGAACCCAAAGACAATATTTACTCAGATTCAAGCGTTGACACATGCCACAGTGACTTTTTTTTAAAGTGTGACCAGAATCAAATTAAAATAAACAGGCCCCTTGTGGGTGTTTTAAAAACCTTACTTTCTGCCCCGAAAATGAGCCCTTCACTGTATATCATATCGTTGGATATTTTAAAATTAGTTTCAAGCATAATAAACCTAGCATAAAATCAAGAGTATTACAATGTGTAGGCGAGCCTTTAGAGTCAAAGGGCAAAAACAGAAGAATCATGATAACAAACATTATACCCTCCAAAGCTACATTCTTCAAAACTGCCCGGTTTACATAATTAGAATGCAAACTTCACTGTTGTTGTCCCAATGACCAATTACCAAACAAAAGCAAAGAGATTTTCAACTTGCAGAGCTCAGAAACTTCATTGGAGGAAACTCAAATGTCTTTTACTCCTTATCACAACTGGACTTTTAATTATGAAGCTGCCACCTTGTCTGTTTCTCCCCTAAGGTTATGCTCTATGCATCTAAGGAAGAGGGCTGTAGTCCTTGAAAGTCCTTGGTATAAAAATAAAAGTGATACATGACTGTTTATTATCTTTTTGTAACAGGCTTGCATTCCAGAAACCGTAATGGCTCCCGGGGTTTATAATCTTAGGCACATCAGCCCATTTTCTCTCCCTCCTCCATCAAAATAAAACAAATGCAACAAAACTTTGAGAAATTTAATTCTGCTTGGGATTTAGAACTACCTATAGAAAGATTTTGTACTCGCAGCACTCACACACACACAAAAATCAAGAGCCTTATGATTTTCTTAATGTTGATAGACTGAAATAAAATCATGGTTCATATTCAGAATACCCAGAAGCAGAGTGGAAGCTAGGATGTAGTTGTGTAAATTTTTGCTATAAAGCTCCACTGGTTATAGACGTGACCATATGTTAATTCATTCACCTTGCTGTACTCGTAGCAATGTTTCACATGATAGGTCTAAGAATATCTAAAGTAACTCCGTATCTACTTTGGCTGAAGTGCCAAGCTAAGATGGGCTCCATTATGTCTAACTTTTGCTTCCAATCTTGCTTTGAAAAAAAATTAATAGTGTCAACACCAGTGCTTTAACTCGTCTTGTGCTCTTCTTATTCTTGCTTTGTATATTCTTTCAGGCTTCAACCCTTAAAGATGTAAACACTGATAAAAATCTGTGAAACATGAAGGATGCCATCAAACTGGCAAAATATAGCTTTAAACTAGAGATGGGGGTATTCGTATATAAATACGACTATCCCTCCACAGGTGGAGATAATGAGGGTCCGTCCCCATGGGGCCGGACGGTCCACTCATGATTCCCCTCCAGCTGCAAGCTTGACAGAGCCTTTCTATTGCTCCATTGCTCGCAATAGATTAGCCAGTCCTGGCAGAAGATAGGATGACGAGCCTCTCTGCCAGGTTGCAGAGTCGCTAATCCATCGTGAGCAATGGAGTGATAGGGAGGCTCTGTTGAGCTTGTGGCAGCGGTGGACCCATGAGTGGACCCTTGTCATCTCTACTTTAAACCTATTTATGGACATAATTTTAAAGAGCATAACATTCTTGGCACAGAATACCCCTGGAACTAGATAAAGAGTAACGATGTGGAGAATGGGGAAATGTATTACAAAAATTAAGCAGTGGCATACACTGCCTAAGGAGGTTCTAAGGTCCCATATTCAAAAACCAGTGCAGAAAAGATTGATATAATCTGCATGTCTTGAGATGACACCACCCATTCTTTGTTTCCATGAATCTGTAACTGGTTTCCCCTTCATTTGTTTTCTTAAGAAGAGGCAAATGTTTCATGTTCTCCAGACAGTATGTTGACCTGTCCCCTTCAAATGTTTTTGCAGAGGGCAGAGCTTGTGCCGTCGTTTTTGACTGCAAGTTCATTGAGACCTCGGCAGCTGTCCAGCACAATGTGAAGGAGCTGTTTGAAGGCATTGTGCGTCAAGTGCGGCTAAGGAGAGACAGCAAAGAGAAGAACGAAAAGAGGCTGGCATATCAGAAGAGGAAAGAGAGCATCCCTAAAAAGGCCAGGCGGTTCTGGGGCAAGATCGTAGCCAAAAAGAACAAGAACATGGCTTTCAAATTGAAATCCAAGTCATGCCATGATCTCTCTGTGCTTTAGAAGTTTTGGTTCCTCTCGGATGTTGTCTTTCATGGAGAACATTATTCAGTTCCATTCAGTCTATATTAGATTGATGAACAGGAAATGTAGGTCTGACTTGATTCACAATTGTGAATATTGTGATGAAATGTGCCAGCAATATCCACAGTTTAATGCATGTACGGGAGAAGAAATGCCATGTATACCTTTGTTGGTTTAGAGTTTAGGAGTGTAAATGTCTTGGGTGGGGGAGAGAACACCAGTCTTATCTTATAAACTAGAACATTCCAAAGCTACAACGAGACGTGCCCAAGAAATTGCAAACCATTTCCCTTGTTGCCTTTCGGAGAACAGCCTAAGAATCGGAAAGCATCGTTTGGCAGCGTATATCATCTTATTCATAATTATTCTGTGCTCATTCTTCTTTAAGCCGAGAAAAGGACACCGAGCAAAGGAATGCCTTCGCCTTCATCAGCCGGTTGCATAAGAGCCCGGAGGTGGACATTTTTCTTGTCACAGTGTCATTTATCCCAGGGGCTAAATGGAATATCTGAATTTTCAGATAATCACCAGTTTGGATAAATGGGACCATTGCATCCAGAATGTGACGTTGCAATGGAACAATATGGAGGATTGCTCTTGATTTCAGTAATAAGATGATTGAGATGGCAAAGATTGGATTATTGTGGGTTTTGCCTGCTTATCTGCAGAAAGAACACTGAATATTTCTTTGCTTATATCAAGAGCCTTTTAGTTTGCTTGGGTCCAGGCTTGTGGTCAGTGTAATTCTGCTGGTACAAGACATTAAAGGGAGACGACTAGGAAGAGAAAGCGGGCAGGGGTGGCGAGTTTCCTGGGCCTCCCTTTCCCCCCGGAATCCCTCTGCCCCCTTTTTTTCTAGCCAAAAGCCAATTTCCTGTGCAAAGGGTTAGAGGAACAAGAATAACTGTAACCAGTAGTTACAGGAAATAACTATATAACACAACTTTGTATTGTGTTGTGCCGTGAATTACGATCAAAACAGCAGAAAACATTAAAATGAAAAACCAAGTGCAAGATGCCAATTTTGAGGCAGGAAAAAAAAAACTCCTTTTATAAGAATCTACAGAGAGATTTTATGCTCAGATCTATTGTTTGTATTATGCCATAACTATTTGTATTTATTATCTATCAGCTCTTAATTGTATTTTTAATGGGTGAATGATAGAAATGGGGAGAAGTAGCATTGAAATATATTTATTAAGTGATTTCTTAAGAAAAATGTTGATTTTATTACTGTTTTCTATACGGTATCTTTTGGATTAAACAATGTTTTATTTACATGCCTTGTAATAAATCAATAAAAGGTTTCCTTGCCTTTCAACCTAACAAGAAATCTCACATCTCCTGTTTTGACAATTTGATTAAAATTTAGTTTATGTCAGGAAAGACTTTTATTTGGATTTGGACCAGAGCTTGCCAGTTTTACCTTTTGCCTTAGAACCCCCAGAATCCCCCAGGCACCTGGGAGCTTAGAACCCCCCAGAATCCCCCAGGCACCTGGGAGCTTAGAACCCCCCAGAATCCCCCAGGCACCTGGGAGCTTAGAACCCCCCAGAATCCCCCAGGCACCTGGGAGCTTAGAACCCCCCAGAATCCCCCAGGCACCTGGGAGCTTAGAACCCCCCAGAATCCCCCAGGCACCTGGGAGCTTAGAACCCCCCAGAATCCCCCAGGCACCTGGGAGCTTAGAACCCCCCAGAATCCCCCAGGCACCTGGGAGCTTAGAACCCCCCAGAATCCCCCAGGCACCTGGGAGCTTAGAACCCCCCAGAATCCCCCAGGCACCTGGGAGCTTAGAACCCCCCAGAATCCCCCAGGCACCTGGGAGCTTAGAACCCCCCAGAATCCCCCAGGCACCTGGGAGCTTAGAACCCCCCAGAATCCCCCAGGCACCTGGGAGCTTAGAACCCCCCAGAATCCCCCAGGCACCTGGGAGCTTAGAACCCCCCAGAATCCCCCAGGCACCTGGGAGCTTAGAACCCCCCAGAATCCCCCAGGCACCTGGGAGCTTAGAACCCCCCAGAATCCCCCAGGCACCTGGGAGCTTAGAACCCCCCAGAATCCCCCAGGCACCTGGGAGCTTAGAACCCCCCAGAATCCCCCAGGCACCTGGGAGCTTAGAACCCCCCAGAATCCCCCAGGCACCTGGGAGCTTAGAACCCCCCAGAATCCCCCAGGCACCTGGGAGCTTAGAACCCCCCAGAATCCCCCAGGCACCTGGGAGCTTAGAACCCCCCAGAATCCCCCAGGCACCTGGGAGCTTAGAACCCCCCAGAATCCCCCAGGCACCTGGGAGCTTAGAACCCCCCAGAATCCCCCAGGCACCTGGGAGCTTAGAACCCCCAGAATCCCCCAGGCACCTGGGAGCTTAGAACCCCCCAGAATCCCCCAGGCACCAGGGAGCTACTAGGAGTTATAATCTCCAAAATACATTTGTGATGAAGTGGTTAAAGTATCAGAGTGGAATTTGGGAAATCCAGTTTTAAGTCTCCACTGAAATGTAGAGCCAAACTGCACATTAGAAACAAGATGTTAGTGCAGCCGAGTTCACACTGGTGTTCCAGATATGTGATTTTAGCAGATATTTGTGTCTGAGGAAACAGATGTTTAAACAAAACCTTTACGTCCGAAATGACCAAACCAAATCGTAACCAAATCAGCAGTTGATAGAAGAAGGGAATGGTAAACCACTTTTGAATAGTCTCTACCCAAAAAATCCAGAAATGGGTGGCCATAAATCAGAATTTACTTGACAGCACACAATTATTATTAGATGTGAAGAGCTCCTGTCAGACAATCAGCACTGGAGGAGTTCCCTGTTCCAGATATCTGTGAACTGTAGTTTGGTTCTCAAAAGCTGCCTCTGGACCAGTTAAATCTCTTTCCGCCCAACCTACCTCACAGTCTTGTTGAGAGGAAAAACTGTGAAACAAGAAAGACAAAGTATAAATCATAAAAATGTAGATTTGGAAGAGACTTCAGGCGTCATCACTAGTCCATTGCCCTGCCAATGTGGAAACCCACAGTGAAAGCATCTTTATTGATTTAGGGATCCTCCAGTCCCTACACTTCTATAATTCTATGACTTATACAGTGCCCCTGTTCATGATTTATCCTTGCAACAAGCCTGTGAATTAGATCAGGCTGAATCAGACTGACTGTCCCAAAATCAGCCAGAGAGAGCCAAAGTAAAGATCATAGAAATAAGGTCTTTAGAAAAGGGAATTCCTCATGTGCTGGAATGTTCTGATTTTTACAGTTAATTATTATTTATTATTATTATTTATTTAATTTATATGCCTCCCACTCTACCCAAAGGTCTCTGGGCGGCTTGCAACAATTAAAATTCAATACAATAAAATATAAAATGATTAAAATACAATTAAAATTGCCATCATAAAGACCCACAGTTAATGTTATTTCAATTAAAAGCCTTCTGGAACAGGAAGGTGTTGACCTGGCGCTGAAATATCATCAGTGTCAGCGCCAGACGAATTTTAGTCGGGAGGGCGTTCCATAGTCTGGGGGCAGCTGCCGAGAAGGCCCTTTGTCTACAAGCCATCCCTCTTACCTCCTTGAGGGATGGCTCTTTCAAAAGGGCCCCCTGGCTAGATCTTAACAGCCGGGTAGGCTCATATGGAAGGAGGCGGTCCTTCAAGTATCCAGGGCCCAAGCTGTTTAGGGCTTTATATGTCAAAACAAGCACTTTGAATTGGGCCCGGACAGCAACTGGTAACCAATGTAAATTATACAGAATCGGCTTGATGTGCTCTCTAGCGGCCGCACCACTCACCAGCCGCGCAGCTCGATTCTGGACCAGTTGCAGTTGCGGACCATCTTCAAAGGCAGCCCCACGTAGAGCGCATTGTAATAATCAATACGAGATGTTACCAGTGCATGTGTAACTGTCATGAGACTCCGCTCGTCCAGGTAGGGCCGTAGCTGGTATAATTTCTGCAGCTGAAGGAAGGCACCCCTGGCCACTGAGTCCACCTGAGCTTCCAAGGTTAGACTGGCGTCCAGGAGCACCCCCAGGCTGCGGACCCTGTCCCTTAGGGGGAGTGTAACCCCATTCACGGCAGGGAAATGGCCCTCCAACCTGTCCGGCGAAGCACCCACTAACAGCACTTCCATCTTGTCTGGATTGAGTTTCAACATAACAACCAAATTGGTTAACCATTCTTCTGCAAACAGTTTCTCACTTGCAACCTCCCCTCTTCACCCCCATTGCTTTTCTACTAACAGGGTTTCAAGACAGGAAATGGGCCTGGCGCAGAGAATAAGAATAAGAATAATTATTATTTATTTGATTTATACCCCACCTATAATTCCCTGTAGAATGACTTAAAGAGGAAGTGAAGGGGGAAGAGACTAGGTCAACATACTTTACCTCCAATCTATCACTTCCATAATCTGGAAAAAGTGCCATTTTTGGACTACAGTACGAGAAGCCTCAACTTTTTGGACTCCTGTTTCCCAAATTGACTGGATGGATTCGGGGAGGTGTCATCTAAAAGAGGCAACTTCTCTGAGCAGTTGCCCCTCTCTCTGTTTAAAGAAAGTGGTTTCAGCTAAAAAACAAACCTGAACTGATGACTTTAGAAAGTAGAATAGGACAGCTGGACCTTGTCAGCTAAGCTAGTGAGTCAGCCTAGCATGAGGCAAAAACGTATAAACATCAGACATTTTGACAGAAACTAATAAGATAATTGCAATGTCATCTATAGAGACCTGGCAGAGGCTGTGGAATCTGTGAGTCATAGCCTGAAGCGAATGACGGCAACAATACTGAAGTCCAGGCCTCAATCTGCACTGTAAAGCAAACAGAGAAGCCTATAAGGCAGTGATCATGTGGAAAACTGGGCAGCTATAATAATTCTCTTTCAGAAGGAGAGATTAGGCTGGGGTTATGAATTAGAAGTGTATTGGAAAATGCCATCCCAGGTTGTACAAAAAAGGCAAGTAGAACAGACAGAAGGGCAATGATATCGGTTAGCAAGTCTATGGTACAGCGTGGTTCTATCAAACCAAATTGAGCCATGTCTGCAGTACGTTCCAGAAGCAGGCTCTTTTGTGAAGGGCCACCCCAAGTTATTTTGCTGCTTGAGCGAAGGAGACAAAAGGACTGCTGAGTTTTTAATGCTGCCTGTCCAGCCTCTGTCATCTGCCCAATGCTGATCCTACCTTACCTGCCTAACTGGAGAGCTCCCCCTGCTTTGTGGCTGCCAAGATATTGCTCTTCCTTGGCCATGAGGAAGCAACCACGCTCTGACATTTTTCAGATCACTTAATGTAGTTGGTACCAGAACCGGAAGAAAAAGAGACTCTTAAGGTTTCAAAATGAGAGAAAAGTAAAGGTAGTAGCATGGTAAGGCCAGATTCAATTATGTTTGCCAGAACGTAAGCAGGGGAGTATACACTTACATCCAGTCTTCATTCCATAGACCAGATGGACTGCTTGTGTTTCTATGTCTCCAGAATCGAGATGAACATGGTATGAGGCCTTTTCAAAAGACCAATACATTTGTCTTCTTCTACTTCTTCTTTTTCAACATTGACTGCAATTATATAACAGATACAAGTTTTAACAAAAAACCTAAGTATCTGTCAAATATCAACGCAGCTATGTATGTTGTTTCTAATACTGCCTTTTTTTTTTTGCAGCTCTGAGGTTGTTCTTTCAGACATCTGCAACTGTTTATAATATTGTTCCCAAAGTGCCAGTGACTATAGGGACCACTGAAGTGTGTTTCATCCACAAGCGAGATGTTTCGATTGCCAAATCTCTGTATTTTGTTAGTTTTTCCAATTCTTTATTTTCAGCTCTTGCACCCCCTGGAATTGCATTGCCAATGATCCATACATTTCTTTATTTTTTTGTTCTATTACTATTGCGTCTGGTGTGCTGTGCTGAAGATGTCTTATAAGTTCGGATCCAAAAATCCCACTTTGACATTTTTCTGACACCTTCACTCTTTGATGTTCCCATGACTTTTTGGAGGTGGGCAAGTTATATTTTTTGCACAATGACCAATGCACTAATTTTTCCACTCTAGCATGTCTAATTTTGTAATCTGTTTGTGCAATCTTTGCACATTCACAGATGAGATGTGATAACAATTTTGTCTTTTTCTTGGCAGACATGACATTTGCTGTTAGCACTAATTCCAGGAATCTTAGCTTTCATCACATTGGTTTGGAGTGCTTGTTCTTGTGCAGCAAAAATCGAGCCTTGGGTTTCTTTCTTAATGGTCCCCAGTTTTAGCCATACTCATGTTTAATTATCATGCT